TAGACATGTGGCTTTTCATACTTATCTTCCCGATACTGACTTGTAATTTTGTTATGTCTGAGAATACAGTTTGTATTATGTCACCTTTTCTATAGCATTTTCATTTTAAAATTGTATCATCTAAAAATTCCTCATGGGCAATTTCCACTATTAATTTTCCAGCTATCTGAAAGTGAAATAAGAATAAATGATAAAGGAGACCATATTTGCCAATGATCAAGCTTCTCACTTATAGTAGACTAAGACAGAATTGCGTGCTTTAAAATACCTTCTCCCCGGGGGTCACAGAGACCCTCCAGATGCAGTGTGTGTAGGACGGGTAGCCGTTGGGGAATCCTGGAGAGGAGAGGTTGCCCATGGATTCCTGGAGAGTCTCTCCGCAGGCTGAAAGCAAAAGAAGAGAAGATTCTTACTCTCCTTATGACAAGTACGGATAGCATTAGCAGTGTGATAGCCAGTGCTACGCATCTATATTTTATTTTATTTTATTTTATTTATTTTTTTTGTGGTACCAGGGATGGAACTCAGGATCTTGCACTTGCCAAGCAAGCACTTATTCCACCGAGCTATGTCCCCAGCCCCATGTCTGTATTTTATAAAATATATTTCTAAGTAAATTTTTATGTATGTCTTGTCAGAATTTCAGTGCGCTTGATGGCATCAGTAGAGCTAACTAAAAAACAAGCCTATGAGATTACTAATCTCACATCCAGCAACTCCTCGCTCCGTCATTGCCAGTGGCCACCTTAAAGGTCACATATAGTGAGGTTGAGGTCCGTGAATATTGCATTAACGTGACTCTGGAACCAGAAAACAGTCCATTAACACATCCCACATGAATTGAGGCAACCTTAACAACCAAGAACAATTCAAAGGTAAAAAAAAAAAATGAAATAACAACTCATGTATAATCAATAAAGAGGGCATTGAGATTCATGCATGATGAATTAATTTCAACATGAGAATAATAGTGAAACCTAAAGGTATAGAATATTCAGATGTATCAAACACCTGAACATATATCTGAATATATCTAAATATTTATTTACTGTGTCTTTTATGTTGGTCATGCACAGAAATTGCCAAAAAAATAAAAAAACAATTAGTACTTTTGGTTTCACAGAGCATGCTGTAGTAACTTGGAAACAGTTATCAAGGTATCTGAAATAGCAAATTGTTGGCTGCAAGGCATTAAGACCTGTTTTGGCCAAGGTCAGTGGCAGCAGCAGTCTATCCTGGCTTTTGCCATCGCTTTTAGCAAGACATGATATGGGACACAGGAACCCAGGCTGCTACTCACACACTTACTCAGAATGACTCCCTGTGCAGTCTGGCATCTTTATAACCTCTGCTCAACACACAGAAAGAACAGCTCCTTGTCCCTAAAGGAAAATGATCAAAACCAAGGCTTTCCCCTACCCCAGAGCCAGAGCTACCAGAGGATGAACTCTCATCTCCTCGAGTCCTCAATAAATTATAAATGGGCCTGTGTATCTTGAATTAAATAAAGAAAGAAGGATAATGGCTCTGAAAGCATGAAGCCGCTATAAAAACAGTCTGACACAATATAAATATTTATTCAGGAAAATAGATACTAAGTTTCTCACCATAAAATAAAACTAAAGTAAGACAAACTGAAGTTTCTTCTGATGAACCAGGCAGATAAAAGGAAGCTTAGATCAAAATGAAAATATTCAAGGTCAAAATGCATAATTTAGCACTGTTCTATGCATTAACTAGGACACTGGATAAATGCCACATTACAAGAAGCCTTAGAAAAATGAAAGTGTGTTAAGACTTTTGTTAATATGAACAATATGCTTTAAGTAGTATCAGATAATTGTGTTTCAGTGAAAAGGATTGCAGGTTACAGCAGCTTAAAAATAAATTCTGTAATGATTTAAAGCCCCTCTAAATCAGAGAGGGTGCTGATTCTGGTTTTGTTAAAGTAGAGTGGAACAATAAACTAACTCACAATACAAATGACAGTCTTCTGATCAAAAGCAAACTTTCTTACAACACAAAAAACATAACATATAATTCAAAATTTAGGTCCACAAAATAGCGCCTACTTCTAATGCAAGAGGTATCAATATCTGAAGTTTAGGGAATCACTTGTTAATAGTGTTCTTCAATAAATGTGATTGTCCCAGGCTAGACGTCCCTACTACACAAGATGTTTCAGCGCTGTTCCCAACTATTTGTTGACTTATGTTCAGATATTTAAAAACTTTATTACTTAAAGAGTTAAAAGAAAATTTTTCAAGAAAGTGTGTACTGTTTAATTCAGACAGTCTATCAACAGCAAGGCAAAAGGACAAAGAGACAAATATAAGCACTAAAATTTTCATGTATCAATCATGTCATCATCTTTATAAGATTGTCTTATAGGAGTCAGATATTTTACTTTCTTAATCTTTAAATATCTTTCACAGGTAAGGAAAACTCATGGTCATAAGGTGTTATGGTTTGTGGTGTCCCCCCAAAGCCTCATGAAGTCATGGGGTAACTCCTACAGTTTGAGACGGGTTATTATGGGTGTGGATGCTGCACATGCCCTGGGACAGGTAATTGGCATTAAAGTGTAAGAAGGGGAGAGAGAGGCTGGCTGCTGCCTGAGCTGCTGCCACTCCACTTGCTCTCTGCCCTTTGCCACTGCCATGAACTGCTGCTCTTTGCTGTGTGCTACTCTGCCTTGGAGCCAGCTGAGTATGGACTGAAACCTCCACCAACTGTGAGCTAAATAAACCTTCCCTCCCTTCATTCTGGGTGTCGAGTAACAAGAAAAGAGTAACCGAGCCATAAGTTTAGAAACTGTGTTTTAAACTACAACTACTTCCTGAGTAATAATTGAGAAAACAAAAGCATAAAGAGGGCTGGAGAGATGGCTCAATAGAATGAGCACTTCCCTGGCAAGTGCAAGGGCCTGAGTTCAATCCCCAGTTCCACCAAAAAAAAAAACAAACAAAGGCATAAAGAATTACAAAGAGACAAATTATTATGATCAGTCTTTCACTAAAATTATAGCACCATAATTAGTAATAGGCAAATTAGAAGCAGCTTATAAGACAATCAGTAGGTGAATGCATGAAGAACATTATCCATTATCCATGTATCTATATATAAGTATATATAGCACTCGGCCATGAAAAGGATAAATTTAAGTGATTTTTAAGAAAAGGAACTCACCTTGAGACCATAATGCTAAGTGAAATAAGTCAGATGCAGAAGGTTAAATATTGCATGGTTTCTTATATGAGAAACTTAAAGTATACATGATGTAAAAGAAAAATAAAAAATAGATGAGAGGAAAAAGGAATTACATAGTGTGGAGAAAGGAAGGGGGCTGGGGATGGGGACAAGAGGCAGAAGGGGAAGAAAAATATTATGTATTATATTATTATATAATAATATTATATAAATTAATATAATATATATCCTTCATGATAGATACATTTATTATCTACTATAAACCACAAAAATAAACTAATCATAAAAATTAGAAATGTATTTCTCCAAAGATGTACAAACCAAAACCACAAACATAAACATTAAAAATCATTATTTTACTGCAATTACTATTGAATTAGATAATGCATATGTATCTTCTTCTTTGACATGGAAATTTTGTACTTGAATTACATAAATATAATTTAAATGCTGTATTATTGAAGAGTTATTATATATTCTCATCCTTTTAAAGGCAGATTTTAATTTATAAGGGACATCAACTTCTACAAGTATCATAGTGACAAATACAGCATTGAACAAATATTACAAGTTGAGATTCTCACTGTCTTTTTTTAAACTAATTTTATTGAGAAAGAATAGCAATGAGACAGTTTCAGAACAGGTTAGTAGGACAGTTATAATCATTAATATATTGCATATTGTTGTCTTCGTAGTAATTATTCATAGTACAAGATGCAGACATGATAGCTTGTCTAAACACTTTTAGTACAAATCTTTCTTCTCATTGAACAAAGAGAAGTAGCTAAATAGCTGTCCTAACTATTTTGTATATACAGATATATATATTTTTTTCATTACAAAATGGTCCTTCATTTATATCCTTCTTTTTTGTTTAGTTTTGTCAGAGATGGGTATTCCATTGACATTCAAATATTGTAGGTACATGAATTTAGGGTAATAATATCATTAGACTTCTCTTCTGGAGGGTTAACAACTTAAGTTTGCAGACCAAAAAATTAGAGAAAAACAAGGGCTGCAAGGGCAGCCTACATTTTGACCCTAGCCCTTCCAGGTCAGTGAGGACTCAGGACATAAGAGAACCTGTACTGTAACATCCTGTAACTCAGTGGTGTCCCAAATTTTCTGTTCAAGAATATTATGAGGCCACAGAGAAAGGTGATTGACGATGTATAGTGTGTCTAAGGAGAGTCACCTAGAGAGAAAACATTCTCTCAGGCTGTCACAGGTCAAGCAATGACCATGACTCATCCACATGGCTGACACTGACAAAAGATCTACAAATTGTGGTACAGGGTTTCAGGGTAAATCCTGAAGGGATTTGACTGACCTTGTCAGATACAAAAGCTACATTTGTTATATATGTCTTGCTTTATCTTGGTCTCAATCATCCAGAGGAAAGCATAAACATGAGGTACAAAACATAAAGCCATATTAATATGCTGAACTGTAAAAGGCTCAAGTCAACAACTTCTGACATTGCCAGTCCTATGGAAAACCCACTACTATTATGGTCTATAGGACTATATTGGATTATTCTGCTGAATTTGCACACTGACAATATTTGAGATTCTCACTTTCTCATATTTTTTAAGAATACATGTATAAAGTGGGTGTGGTGTTAGAACCCTGTAATTTCAGCACTCTGGGAGACTGAGGCAGGGGGATGGAAAGTGTGAAAACAGCCTGGGAATTTCTTAAGAATTTGTCACTAAATAAATGTAAATTAAAAGAGGGCCAGGAATGTAGCTCAATACAAAGGTCCTGGGTTCAATCCCCAATATAAAAAAATCATATAATTTTGCAAAGGGTCACATAAATCATGGTGGTTACATAATAATTTGTATTAAGTTAAAATCCAAATAAATAAACTCTAGTTTCAGTAAAGAAATAAAAATATGTCTAATCAACTTAATAGTATATAATTTATACATTATTAATGAATCCATGGCTCTAACAACTTTGAGCATTTAATAAATTGTTTTAAAATGTATTTTATAATAAAAGAAGTAGCAAAAGTCACCCAGAGCCATTAGCTGAGCAACAATGGGGAGATTAATTGCTGAAAGATTTAAAACACAGTTTTGTTGTAACTCCACAGCTGAGCTAGAAGTCACTAACACAAGACCTCATTATCCTCAAAAGCTCCTTTAATTTTATATATCATTTATTTT